CCTTTGTTGAAGATTAATCAGCCATATAATTGTGGGTTTATTTCTGGGTTTTCCATTTTAGGCCGCTGATCTGTCTGTTTCTGTGCCAGTACCATACTGTTTTGATCACTTTGTATAACTTTGTCATATAACTTGAAGTCTGGAATTGTGATACCTCCAGTTTTGTTTTTCTTTTTCAAGACTATTTTGGCTACTTGGGGGGGCGGGTCTGTTGTGGTTCCATACAAATTTTAGGATTGATTGTTCTAGTTCTGTGAAAAATGCATTGGTATTTTGATAGGGATTGCATTAAATCTGTAGATTGCTTAGGTGGTTACAGGTATTTATTTTAACAATATTTGTTCTTCCAGTCCATGAGCGTGAGATGTCTTTCCGTTTGTGTTGTCTTCATTTTCTTTCATCAGTGTTTTATGGTGTTCAGCGTACAGGTCTTTCACCTCTTTGGCTGTTTATTCCTAGGTATTTTTATTATTTTTGGTGCAGTTGTAAATGGGCTTCTTTTCTTAATTTCTCTTTCTGCTGCTTCATTATTAGTATATAGATATACAACAGATTTCTGTATATTGATTTGCTAAATTTACCGTGTTCATTTATCAGTTCTAGTAGTTTTCTCATGGAGTTTTTAGGGTTTTCTACCTATAGTTATGCCATCTGCAAATACCGAGTGTTTTACTTCTACCTTGCCAACTTGGATGCTTTATTTCTTTTTCTTGTCTGATAGTTGTGACTAGGACTTCCAGTACTATGTTGAATAAAAGTGGTGAGAGTGGACATTCTTGTCTTGTTCCTGACTGTAGGGGAAAGACTCTCAGTATTTCCCCTTTGAAGATGATGTTAGCTTTGGGTTTTTCATAGACGGTCATTATTACATTGAGATCTACTTTGTTAAGGATTTTTATCATGAATGGATGTTGTACTTTGTGAAATGCTTTTTCTGCATCTACTGAAATGATAATACAGTTTTTATCTTCTTTCTCATTGATGTGATGTATCACCTTGGTTGATTTGCAAATACTGAAATTAGTTTCCCTATTTATTGACACCTTACAAATGAAAGAACCTAAAATTCAGACTAGAGTACTGGGGAATCCTGGCTTTTGAGAATCCAGGGGTCTGCTTGTGGTCCTGCCACTTTCTAGCATTATAACCTTGGTCAGGTTTGATTGCTTCTCTGACTCAGGTTTGTTTTTTTTTTTTATCTGTAAAAGGAAGGGCCAGAAGTATGTTTAAGGTTAACCTCTAATCCTATTGTAATTGGCTCTTATGAGCAAATATTTCTGGTACAGAAATGTGTGGTACATAAATTTTCCAGTGTACAAGTCTGTCACCTACCAGAAGTTAATGGGTTAGCTTTTCAGGAAGGGGCTTTATTCCACAGTAGTGCTGTGCCTGCTCTGATTTACTATAAATAGTACATAAGACTCCCTGTGGTAGTGCCTGGCACATGATAGTTTCCTACTATATATTTGTTAAATAAAATGTTAATGATCACTGAATTTCTAGAACTCTTCTAAGTCTGTTTAAACACCATGTTAAAATATGTATACATTTGCAATGACCAGAATAATACACAACATTACTAAATGAGACAGCAAGAAATAAATTTTAGCCTAAAATCTAGTGTTTGAAGGAAAAAGTGTAGAAGAAACAAGATAGAATTTAATGGAGATTCTAAAGGGGGACTTGGGGGCAAGTTCAGATGCTTTCTAATAGTGGTATTTCCTTATTTTTAAATCCTTTAAAAACATCCAGCTTTTTAATTCCTTGGTTTATTATTTCATTTATTCATACAAAACACTGACCTATGCACCAGGCTCTGAACTAGGTTCTCAGGATACTATGGTGAGCCAAAAGAGATGGTCTCTGTGCCATGGATCGTTCTCACTAGAGAAGGGAGGAACCCCGACAGGGAATTAACCAGGAATAAGCATAAGAAGGGAAAGTCCCATGAAGGGGGCGAACCTTGTCTGGGACTTGTAGTGAGTCTGACTGGGCGGAGAATGAGCACAGGGGCTGTCTGGCACAAGCAGCAGCAGATGCAGTGATCCTCAGGAGTGGGGAGCAGACTGGCACAGCCAGGAAAGGAGGGGAAAGCTTGCACGGCTGTGCCCAAGGGGACGAAGGGGAGTTTTGTAAGAGAAGAGACAGAAAGGTCCCGTCGTAGAGAGCGAATGGCTTGCACGGCGTGGCTGCCAGGGCTCCAGGAAGGGCAGGGCTCTGGGCAGGGCTGGGTCTGGGCAGGGCAAGGTCCGGGCAGGGCAGGGTCTGGGCAGGACTGGCTCCTGGGCCAGGCTGCGGTCCTTTGTCAGGTGCGCGAGGGAGGGGCTGTGGCTTTTGTGCTTGACTGTGTTGGTGTTGGGGGGTGGTGTGGAAATGATTAATCTCCTATAAAACAACTCAGTAAATTGTTTTAAGTTTTCCCAAAGAGAAGAGAAGATCTGGGAGTGCCTTGTTCAGGATTTCCCTGCCTCCGACACCAGTTTGACTCCCTGTTGCTCTTGGGGTGACGCCTAATCAGATTTCTAGTTTTAGACTCAGCTGCTGTGTGAAGCCTCGAGGGGGTGAGTCAAGGGGAGGGGCGCTCTGGGAGTCCAGTGTAGACGGCTCAGACGGCAGCCCGGTGTACGACGACGACAATGACAGTGATGATGATGTCGTCATCCTCATCGTCCACTGGGATGGGAAACGGAGGCAGTGAGTGAGTGGATGTGACATGACCCCAGAGGGTAAAATCAGTAGCCCTAGACTGTGAAAGAGTAGGAAGGAGACATTAGAATTATTCCCCAATTTCTGACACGTGGATACATGGAGCTGCCACTTACGGAGATGGGCAGCCGCGGTGAACAGTGGAGCTAGGACAGTCCCTGAGTTCAGCCGTAGACCTGTGGGGTGTGCGACATCCGGGAGGGGACTGAACTAGACACTCGGATGTAGAGCCGAGCCTGGACTTGAGAGAAGCCGACTGGGCTGGAGATACACTTCGTGAATTGCTGGCATGTGGAGGTTTGAAGAAGGAAGGTTGATGGTGGCTCCATAGGAATCCATTTACTTGAAGTTACTTTTAGGGTGCCCAGTGGAAATGATAGGGTGAGGAAAAGGTGAAAATGGGAGGAATGGAACATTTTTCTCAGTTGCTGCTAGAAATTAGAAGAGAAAAAGGAGTAAAAGAGTATCTAGAGAAGGCTTATCTAAGATAGAATTAACTGTGTGAGTCTGGGGAATTTAAGTGATAATTTCCCCTTAGGGGAAAATTAAGCGTGAGGAAGGAGTGCAGGCTTAACTAGGTAATGATACCAGGTAGTACCACGAGTCCCAGCCATACTATAGAGTCAGGTGTTGGCCTGATCCCCCCCAAGGTAGACGGAAGGAAAGGCAGATTGCACTTATATTTAGGGAACATTTGCAAAGCGGTTGCTGAGTTGTTGGTTTCCTTTAAAACTTGAGGGAATTCTTGTGTTAGCGATCTTTGTATTCTGCATTTGAACATACTTCTTTGAATGGATGATGTAAAATACTTTCAGGATCAAGAACGGGATTGTGGTTTCATAAAATATTAGGTCCCAAAGCTTAGATTATAAGTATTAGAGATGATTTAGTTTTCAGTAGTTCAGACTTGATCCACAAGCATGAACTGCATTCTCCTTAAACGTGCCTTAGCCTAGGGAGAGCTCTATGATGCCATCGAAGATGCAGGATGCCCCCAGTTCCTTGCGGAGCTCAAACCTGAATTGGCAGGCTTTGACAACCCATCCTTATTGCTCCAGACACCGTTCACCTCCCAACATTTATTTTATGGAGCCATTAAAATAATTCATTGTTTCTTAATTTTACAGGAGTACTCATTTAACAAGCTCCACATTTTGATGTGATAGACACAGACGATCCGTAAGGTGTGACTGTAGTATTGCATAGGGAGGAATACTGAGTTAACATGATACTGAATAGTGAGGTGCTTTATCTGTGGATTCTGAGATCCTAAAGCATTATAAGTTCTATTTTGTAGTAGCCTTATACACTTGGAAATAATAGCCAGTATTATTTGTTGAGCATTTACTCTGTGTTAAATATTGTATATACGTTGTCTTACTTAAGTTTCACAGTAACTGTCTGAAGAAAATGATTGACCCCCCCCTTTTGTAGATTCAGAAATTGAGGCTTAGAGAAGTGTGAAGTACCTTAGCCAAGTCCTCATACCCAGTAGGTGTGGAGCTGAGCTTCAAACCCCAGTCTCTGAATTTAAGGAACATCTTAAATTTTGATGATTCTTGGGGCGCCTGGGTGGCTCGGTCGGTTGGGTGTCTGCCTTCGGCTCAGGTCATGATCCCAGGGTCCTGGGATCGAGCCCCGCATCGGGCTCCCTGCTCAGCGGGGAATCTGCTTCTCCCTCTGCCTGCCGCTCTGCCTACTTGTGCTCTCTATCTCTCTGTCAAATAAATAAATAAAGTCTTTAAAAAAAAAAAAAATTTTTTTTTTTTGATGATTCTTGCCAGATTCCCTTCTGAAAGGTGAGTGACCATTTCCCTGCACCTCAGCCTCACCAACATCTGCATTTTTGCAAAGTGCTAAGTGAAAAATTCTTAAAATTCACAGATAACCAGTGAGACTGGTTTTTCCTACTTTTTAGGTATTTGATTTTCTCTGGGAGTTTCCTTTGGGTTTATCTTTGTAATTGTTATGTGGGTCAAGTCGTATAGTTTAAGTTTTACCTCAGAAGGCAAAGAAAGGCTACAGTGTTAGTTGTGCTTACGCAGTTTCACCCAGCTTCTCTTGTGAGCACTTTTCTTGAGTTCATAGGATTCCGAACTAAATCTCTTAAGTAAGCATATTTCTGTACATAGATCATATGAGTTTGTCTCCACAGAGAAAGAGAAATATTCTCTAGATTAGCGTGGTACCCTCTAATGCCTACAGACAATGTTTCTATCTGTGTGGCAGGCACCCTATTACCCACCCCAGGATGTCAAGAAAAAATTCATTGACTTGCTTTATTTTTTCTTCAGGTTTGCCTGCAATGAGATTTCATTCTCTACATTTAAAGGACATCCTTTCTGAGCTGCTGTGAATAAATTTGGAATGATACTGTATATTTTCATCTAATGGAGAATTAGCTGTACCTTGCATAAGGATTGCTACACTGGACGACTTCAGAATATTACTCACAATGTCATCAAACAGGAGTCAGAATCCCCATGGACTGAAGCAGATTGGCCTTGACCAGATATGGGACGACCTCAGAGCTGGAATCCAGCAAGTATATACCAGACAAAGTATGGCAAAATCCAGATACATGGAACTCTACACGTATCCTACTGCTTGAGCTGAAATTAATTTGCTTAGAATTTTGATTATTCACTAGTACGATCTGTGAATTGTTAGAAGTTTTACATTGTGTTTCTCTTTCCAGCTCACCCTGTGATATAATCAGAGTTCTTTTTGTAGCTTTAAAAATGAACTCACTCTTTAAGTTTTTTGACCAGAGGTGAAATTGGCTAGTTGGTTAGTCTAAAACAATGCTGTTCAGTGTAGTAGTTACTCGCTCCATGTGGCTGTTTACATTTGCAGTCACTTAAAATGAACCGTTCCTAAGTCATGGTTTCTGTATTTCAGGTGCTTGGTAGGTGGCAGACAACTTCTGTCATTGCAGAAAGTTCTGCAAGGGTCAAGTGTAGTTACAATACAGTAACTTTTTTTTTTTTTTTTTGGTAGTAAAATAGAGTGCATTCTTTGCAGGTGGGTATGTAACAGTCAAGTGGGTAAATAATAGTAGGTGTTCTTTCTTTTGAACTTGAAGTAGGTAATGTAATTTCTTATTCCGTTTATCGACACCATTATATTTCGGGAATGCAGGATGATGTGCGGGTCCTTGTGGCATAACTGAGAGCAGCCCATGTGATCGAGTCTGCCCGCTGCGCCATGTGGTTGAAGTTTCTGTTTTTGCCAGACCCCAGATCTACCTGCCCCTCGTTTCTAGGTCAGGATCCTTTTTTATTTGGGTCAACATACACCTCAAGTCATGATTTTTGCCTTGGAATCAAAAGAAACCTGTGCGTTGATGTCTTTCTTTTTTTTCCTTACGCCTACAAGTTCTTATCAACGTTGGAAGTTTCTGGTTTTTTAAACCCTGTAGTACTGTGGGCTGAAATAGTTTATTCTGGTTTTTTTTTTTTTTTGAAGTCTTCTTTTTCCCCAACCAGTACACTAGGAATCACATTCCTGTTTCCTAGTCTTGGCTATCTACCTCGCAGGAGGTTACAGCATAAGCATACTCAGGATTCATATTTAATCTCCATCCTGATGTTCTGTGACACAGTTCACGATCCCTGGAGTTGTGGGCCCTTTTTCACCCGGAGTAAATCTGAGCCGTGGGCCGCCTGCAGCAGACGCTCTGCAGGGATAACATGCCAGGACATGCTGGTCCTGCTGCTGCTCAGTCCCTGCCAGTTGCGCAGTCAGGTCTCAGCTCAGCTGCTGCCGTCGCTCTCCTCAGCTGGACACGCTTAGCCCCCCGCCAGCTCTCCCACGGGAGCTGTGGGCATGAGGGGAATAGTCCAGGTGGTGGCCTTTCTACCCCCTTCACCGGCCTGCTGCAGACTTCTCTTTTATAGAAACTCAGAATCTCACAGAAAAGCAGATCAAGCCAAAAAAAATAAATTCTTTTCACAATACATTCATGATGATCCATGTCTACTTTGAAATAACCGTCTAACCCAACGAATGTATTTGGACATTTTCGTGTTTGTTTGTTTTAAGATGTTATTGATTTATTTATCTGAGAGACGGAGAGAGCACCAGCGGGGGTGGGGGAGGGGCAGAGGCAGAGGGAGAAGCAGGCTCCCCGCTGAGCAGGGAGCCCCATGTGGGACTGGATCCCAGGACCCTGAGATCATGACCTGAACCACCCAGGCGCCCCTGGACATTTTCATCTTGTACTTTTTTTTTTTTTTTTTTAAGTAATCTTTGATACCTAATGAACATGGTTTATATCAAATAAACTTAAGCATAAAGGTATTTTCTAATTTTTCCAAATGTAAGCTACTATTCTCATATATATTTTTCCGTGCTTTGAAAGTAAGGCTCTAAAGGACATAACTGATTCACAGAAGAAATGCAAATGACAAAATATCCCACCTCATAATTATGGAAGAAATGAAGAATTAGAGGTGCCTGGGTGGCTCAGTCAGCTAAGCGTCTGCCTTAGGTTCAGGTCATGATCCCAGGGTCCTGGGACCAAGCCCCGTGTTGGGCTCCCTGCTCAGCAGGGAGCCTGCTTCTCCTCCTGCCCCTCCCCCTGCTCATGCTTTCTCTCCCTCTCTCTCTCTCTCAAATAAAATCTTAAATAAATTTTTTATACCAAAACTGGAAAGTTTTAAAAAGAAATGATTATAGCCAGTGTTGGCAAAGAGTGGGGGGAGATGAGTTCCTATAGTTAGATGGAAATGTTGTTTGCTGTGAGCTTTCTTGAGAGAAATTTAGAAATACAAAGACCCAAATGTACTTTGGCCCAATGTTTCATTTTGTTTTAATTTTTAATTCTGTTCTAAGGAAATAGTGATATTCAAATTGTATGTGCAAGGCTGTTAGAAATATTTTAATAATAGGAAACAGTGGAAACCAACCTTAGTATTCATCACTAAGGATGACGTGGTATTTAAAGGTTATAAATAGCCAATAAAAATACACTGAAGAGTATTCATTGACATGTAATAATGTCTGTAACAAGGGAGAAGCAGGATACAAAGTGGTACATGTCCCATGAACCCTCAGCACACCCTCTCTTCTTCTGAAAAACAACATAGCACCGTATTGAAAGTAGCTCTCCATAGGTATTGGACTTATAGGTGATATGTTTTTTTAAAAATTTATTTATTGAGGGGCGCCTGGGTGGCTCAGTCGCTTAAAGCTGCCTTCAGCTCAGGTCATGATCCTGGGGTCCTGGGATTGAGCCCCACGTCTGGCTCCCTGCTCAGCAGAGAGCCTGCTTCTCCCTCTCCTTCTGCCTACCACTCTGCCTACTTGTGCTCTCTATCTCTCTGTCAAATAAAATCTTTAAAAAAAAAAAAAAAATTTATTGAGAGAGCTCACACATGCTTGCACACGGGGTGGGGAGGAAGAGGGAGAGAATCTCAAGCAGACTTCATGTTGAGCGAGGAGCTGGACACAGGGCTCGATCCCATGACCCTTAGATCATGACCTGAGCCAAAACCAAGAGTTGGATGCTTAACTGACTGAGCCATCCAGGTGTCCCAATATTTTTTTTTATAGATAAGTTTTAAAATGCTCTTCTGTGCTTTTTAGATTTTCGGTATAGAAAATACATATGAGGGTGCCTGGGTGGCTCAGTTGGTTAAGCGACTGCCTTCGGCTCAGGTCATGATCCCGGAGTCCTGGGATCGAGTCCCACGTCGGGCTCCCTGCTCAGCAGGGAGTCTGCTTCTCCCTCTGACCCTACCCCCTCTTGGGCTCTCTCACTCTCTCTCTCTCAAATAAATAAGTAAAATCTTTAAAAAAAGAAAATACATATTAAAATATGGGGCACCTGGGTGGCTCAGTTGTTAAGCATCTGCCTTCGGCTCAGGTCATGATCCTGGGGTCCTGCGATTGAGCCCCGAATTGGGCTCCCTGCTAGGCTGGGAGCCTGCTTCTCCCTCTCCCACTCCCCGTGCTTGTGTTCACTCTCTAGTGGTTTCTCTCTGTCAAATAAATAAGTAAAATCTTTAAAGAAAAATAAAATACAGTTTATTATTTGTTTTCATTATGCAAATATAGGTCCTAGTTATACTTACTTGTAAAATGCTGCCTCTCACTACTGACCTTATAAAAATAGTTTTTAGGATTGACAAATTGTATTTATCTTTGGGAGAGAACCCACAGAAATTATATTGCATATAGTTGCCCCTAGAAGCAATTTTTTTGTTTATTAGTATAAACATGATACGTTCAGGTTTTTTCCTTCTAAATTTTGAAGATTTATTTATTATTTTGAGAGACAGCTCGCGCACGAGCAGGGGGAGGGGCAGAGAGAATCTTGAAGCAGACTCCCCGCTGAGCGTGGAGCCTGACGCCAAGCTTGGTCTCAGGACGAGCCAAAATCAAGAGTCAGACACTAAACCGACCGAGCCACTCAGGCGCCTCTCCTTCTAAATTTGATTCATAGTACACCTCAAGCATTTTCAAGCATATTTATGTTAATCACAGTCAGTTGCAGGCAGACATTGCTTTTGAAATATACTGTGGATGTGGATTTGCTTTATATGGGATATCCCTTTTCAGAATCATACCTAACAACAGCCTAGTGAGAACGCGATTCTCTTATAGTTTTACGGACCAACTCTACCAAATGGTAGGTGGTCTCGGGGCTCTTGCGTATTTATACAGGCGATACGTGTGTTGACATGTGAAGATAGAAAGTATTTTTAATGCAACTTTTAGTGTAGTCTTTCCAAATGATTTTAATACAAGTTAATTGTTTAAAATTCCTTTGTAAGTTCCAGTTGGGTGAGAAGTGGTGGAAAAGAGTTCTGTTTAGTTTTGCTTCTTTAGTTGAATTGACTTCTCTTTTAGAAAATGAAAATGGTTTGAGTTTGGTGGTAACTAAAAGTCGTGGAGTGATTCCCCAGATGTGTTTGCTTTAAGTGGAAGGCATGGTGCTGGGTGGGGGGGAATCATTGGAGTCGCCCACCTTTCCCCGAAGCGCCAGCAGTCCTCCCCTTGTCTTACAGCTGGATGTGTGCGGACCACTCCTGCAGGGGGAGACGAGCCATCCCTACAGTCCCTGCAGCAGGGAAGGGCTGGAAACATCTGCAGGAAAGTGCGCACGTGGGGAGCTTTGCCTCAGACCCCTTTGCATCCAATGTGACCCCTTTCAGTGACTCTTCCCTACCAGTCCTGCAAAAGTATGGCCTTGGCAGATGATTGAACAGATCTGGGGCGACGGAAGAGTTGTACGGCCTATTTGGGAGACAGAACCAGGCCTGGCTCTTTAACACAAACTGCCACACCACCTACCACTTACCTGCCTGCTGGCGCTGAGAGGCCTGGACAGACGACCGAGTGAGAGGCCCCGTGTCTGCTCGGGTCCTCAGCTATTTTCTGCCCAAAGGCTGTGTTGCCAAAGAAACTCCAGAGAGCTTTTTGAAAAGACTCTCAAAAGTTATAAAAGCCAAATATGTGTGTTTGTTAGACTCTGGCTGCCTTAGTATAAAACAACTTACCAACTAACTCCTAAATGGAGCTTCTATTTTGTTACCTTTTAGATTTTTAGTTTATTTTTACCTCTTGATGGTTTCCTCTTAATTCCTATA